TTCTATGATATTTTTTCCTATTAACTTCTAATTAAGATTGGGTGATTTTTAGAAGAGATAAATTAACACGTGGCTTTTATGTTCCATCTATCTTTCTTAGTAGAAAATATCAGGTCTAAGGGATATCCTACTAATCCAACAGGAAAGATTCTAAAGTGTCATTCAAAGTAGGAATATTCAGTTTGACACTACTGAAAGCTGAAAAAGTGAGTGAGGTTTTTGAATTTGCACAAGGACAATTTTTGTTATCTTCCTCTAATATTGCATATATGTTATTTCCATTAAACCCTTAGTCATGGCATTTTCTGTGGGCTGCATGAGAAGGGGAAGAGACAAACATCCTCACCTTTGTTTTTAAGCTTTAAGAGTTGTGTAAAATTGAGCCTTTTTTTTTTTTTTTTGCCAGTGCAATAATTTGCTGCTGCTAGTGATGAAAAGATGGCAGTATTCAGAGACAAAAGCTGAACTGAGCAGGAGTGGTCACCTTTTGGGGACTTTATCTCAGCCTTGTGGCGGTCAACTATGCTGGCAGCCTGTGGTGGGTGATGACAGGCTCCTGTAGGGCTGTGCAGTATGAACACAGGAAAGAAATATGAAAGCATATGAAGTTACCAGGATTCAGAAGGTATTCACTTTAGTCCATACACAAAATGCTTCCCAAGTTAGGAATCTGGAAACAATCTCGCCTCTAGCCTTAGAGATCTAGAGGGTCTCTGAGGACAGTGAAGTGAAATACATCTTTATATCTGTGTCTCTGCCTCACCACCTCCTCCCTCTAGAATATGTTGTGGGTCATGAACTGCTTTAAACTGTAAGTAGCAGAACAGCTCTTTCACTATTGCAATCCTATATTTCTAACACCATTTACCAATATTATTTCATCATCATTATTGCATCAACAAACCCATTTATCCTCCTGTGATATTACCTATTTGCAATACACAACTTCAGTGGCAACAGTAGCCACAGCACCAGTTTAATCACCTGGGAACTGACATATAACCTCAGGCATGACCTAGATGCTCAGGTAAACTGCGGGAAAATATTGCCATTAAAAAGTTGTATGTTTTCAGATAACAAGTTTCCAGATTTGTTGCCAGTAATATTTCTTATGCAATAAACAGTGCCTAATTAATGTCTTCCATCTTTTCGTATTTTATCTCATCTTGTGACATTTGTACAGCAGCATTTTACAATTGAATAATAGTAAAGATGAAAATATAACTATTTGGGTTTTATTTATAGCTGTGAAAGCATGCTTTACAATTTACCATTCAGTCCAAGAATTCAGTTATCTTAAAAGGAAACTAAATTTTTCAATGACAGGTACCAGTTATGACTAAAAAGTCAGCATTTACCACCAATAAATCTAATCTACATGCATTAAAAAGAATTTTTCTGACAGTTTTTATGGCTTGGTTCCACTCCAATATTTCATCTGTTTCAATATATGCATAAAATCAAAATAAAGAATTAACACTGGTATCTCTATTTTGTGATGTGGTTGCTGTCATTCTTAGAGATTCCTACTGTGACTGTTGCATTTATGTACTATAATTTATAAATAACATTTAATTTGTTATCCAGAAACACAAACCATTCTATAGACTTGCTACAAAAAAAAAAGTGAACTGCTTTATAGATACACATGATGAAAGGAAAAATATAGCTTTGTCTTTGAAAGGTAATTCACCTGCTTCTAAAGGAGATTTCACATGTCTGTCAAGGAAAAGGTTGAAGGCAATCCCTTGCAAGTAAGCAATAGCTATCAGAATGCATTTGGTAAAACTAACCCACACAGTACCCTCATACCCTTGACCTTCCAAACACATTTGTTGATAATGTTGATGCTTCTGACAGCTGACACAAATCCGCAAAGTTCTGTGAGAGGATATTTAACTTCTGCATTGAAACTATATTTTCTGTCATATTAAGTCAATATTTTTGCAAGATACAAATTTTGAGTTATACAGCAATACAATGCATGTTATAGCCAACACTTTGAAAAATAGAGCCATGATCTTGTAATGCTCACAGTAAGATAAATTGTTTCTGTGTGGCAGTTGGAGACTGGTCTAACCTGGGTCTAATCATCAATGCCTGGCAGTGAAGAAGCAGCAGCTTAAATTAAACTGCCAGAGCCAAACACGCTGAAAGGCAGTTTCTGGCTCCAAACTTTCAAGATCTGGATGTTCCCGTAATAGAGAGAGGCATATAGATTGAGGAGATGAAAAGAAAGACACTCACAAGAAGCAAATTCCTAGAACAATGCTTTTGTTTTTTTGTTTGTTTTGAATATATGTTGATGTTAAGATGGATTTATGGAAATGCCAATTTCTCCATACATATTTGTAAAATTAGAAAGTGTCATTTGGTATTTGTTTACCATCATCTTACTCTACATTTTCAGAATGTACCCATTTCGTCTGAGTTCAGGCACAATGAAATAAAGTAATAAAGTGCAGATTTTGTTAAATATGTAAAATGTTATATCCTGACCATATTCCAGGAAAAATTACACGCTTTATATAGAGTTATGCATTCTGTCAGCATTTATATTGTTCTGCAATGCAGTTTAGTCAGAAAATGAGTTGTGAGAGGGAAAGAAAGGAAACATGGGAGCACTGGACTATATTTGTGCTGTCACCTTTGTGCTACCAGCCTTTCTGCACTGACTACCCCAAATTTATCTGTAGCTGGAAGCAGATGTTGGATGACTTAGTGGAAACCCTCTCTGGAGGGGGCTGCCTTGCCCACGTGCCTGTGTACTGCCTCTCGCATCCCCTCTGTGTGCTGCCAGAATAGGGCAGCATGTCTTGTGTTCCACTTTTATCATCTCACTGGCATGAAGCCCTCCTTCTGGTTCAAGAGACCTCACAAATATCCAAGGAAATGACAAAGACTGAAGGAAAGGCAGGGAAAACAGAAGGGAAATTTCTTCATTAATGAGCAGAAGATGAATTTTGGAGGTCAGCTTTTAAACAAATTCATCTTATTCTTTTTAAAAGCCCGAAGTTTTTATTGCTGTCCAGAGATATACCTGTTCTCTCCTTACTTCCACCAGGGAGTCTGTATCTCTGGAAGTGTTAAGGAACATGTATGCAGTTACCTTGATATTTTCTTCTCACATACAAAGTTAAATCTCATCTAGATGTTACTGATAGAAAGTTCTGTCTGTTACTACCAGAAGCTGAAGATGTTATGAGAAGACCGCATTTGGAGATCTGTGTCCTGAGACAAAGCCTGCAAAGCATCAGGAAGGGTTAAGGGAAACCTCTTTGCTTACAGCACTCTAAAGAAGCCCCCCAGACTGTGTCTCTGTGATAACAACCCCATTTGGCTTCTAAAGTCCCAAAACAGGCTATGTCATTTGAGCTGTCTCTCTGGGAACTCGGCCAGCTGATAGCCAGAATAACTCAGGAACAATCTATTTCTGGATTATTCAGGGCCATGAAAAAAGTGTATCCAAAGGTTCTCGGAGACCTGAAATTGAGTGCATGTCTCCCTTTCTTATCCAGCAAATGTTTCTGTCACTTGAGATCTATGCTTAATCATGCATGGATTTGAGGACTGTACCAATTAGGCATGGAAAGATTTTTCTTGAATATAAATTTTCACTAATTACAATGAGTCATCATCACTTGATGCTGCAGAGATTTTATGCAGTATTTTTCTCTCTCTGCATTTCAGCACTACATCAGAGAGATTGTCACGAAAGTATTTTCCAAATGTCCCCAGAAATAGCAATGAAAAACCTGAGAGTTTAAAAGAGACATTTGTAGTTAACTGGAGTCACCCACCTCTAAGGATGATCAGATATAGACTGACTGTGACAATGAATGCTCAGAGAGTGCCAAGTCTACTCTCCAGAAGACTTCCCTAAGATGAAGCCTACTCTGTAAAAGACAGTCAGCCTAGTTGCACGATTCTTATTAGTTGTGGTTTCACGCTGCATGACTGTCAACTTGAGATGTTCCTTGTTTGACCAATGCCAGAGATTTTGTGAAGTTAAGTTTTGGAAGATAAGATGAGGGTGGATGTAGAAGTAGTGGACTGTTGGTGTGTCTTGGGGAGTTATGGCTTGGGCAGTTTATGTCTTGGTAGACTGGCACATAGGAAGTTCTCAAATGTATGTCAGTGGGATGCCGTGGAGGACTCAGAAAGGACTAGGAGGTTTTGAATTTTCATACAAGTATTTCAACTAATGCATAAATTTCTCTGAGACCAAAAGAAGGTGAACAGAACTGAATAAACTATTTATTCAGTCTAACTTCACAGGCAAAGCCATTCAGTACAGCAGAGAAAGAAGTGTTGCATTTTAAGGTCTTTTTATTACTGTTTTTGCCTTTACTTCCAAAAAAATACTCTAGAAACTTTAGAAACTGAAAGTACTTTAATAGTTCACATTCACCTAAAAAGCAGTAAAGTATATTTCGGGTATTATATCTAATGTGTTTCTAATCTAATCTAATCTAATGTGTTGAGAAGAAACTTCTTCTCAGTGAGGGTGACAGAGCACTGGAACAGGCTGCCCAGAGAGGTTGTGGAGTCTCCTTCTCTGGAGACATTCAAAACCCGCCTGGACGCCTTCCTGTGTAACCTCATCTAGGTGTTCCTGCTCCGGCAGGGGGATTGGACTAGATGATCTTTTGAGGTCTCTTCCAATCCCTAACGTTCTGTGATTCTGTGTAAATTGAATTCTTCCTTCTAGAAGGCCTACTAGAAATATACTGCCTTGAAAACTCACTACTCTTTTCTCCTTTTTTGTTAACTCTACTGTCTATATCGAAATTTGAAAATGGAAAATGCAATCCTAATAATGTAAACCCTTTTAGAAGTTCATAGATCAAGGCAGAGAAATTGTGTGGAACATTATGATAATAACTCATGTTTCGACAAAAGCATATTGTCATAAAGCTGGTCAGAAAGAAGGTATTGATTTAACTTCACACTTCTTTTTTGTAAAATGTTAACACATTTTTTTTCTTTCTGCTTTCCAGAGTTAGAGGCAGAGGAATGGTGCAAACATCTTTGCATGGAGTGTCTAGGAACCAGGCTCAATGATATAAGTCTTGGGGAACCAGATTTGCTTGCTGCTGGAGTCCAGAGAGAACAGAATGGTATGTAACTTTGTAAATGCTCCTAGATTAATTCTTATGTGATGTCCCATGTTATCTTTGCTTGTGTATGTTGTTGCAAGGATTTTTACTATTAGCTAGAAGCACATCATGAATAACTAAACATTTGGATGTGTTTTTGAGGCTTAATCCTATTTTTCCTACTAATAAAGATGATTAAATTCAATGCCAAATACCACACGTAGAGTGACTTCATGTCTTTGTTCCATTCACATTTTCCTGTCATGGGAAATGATGACTATGACCTTTCTGGTTCTGGAAACAGTGTCCTCTGTGCAGAGGAATAAAACAGCAATTGTTGTTCCACAGCCTTTGAAAGACAGTAATATACAAATCAACACCATTTTTGACTGCAAAACACGTATTTTCTTTAAACTCATACCTGTCTTGTATAATGAAGTCAAGGTCGTCTAAATCTTGTCAAATACAGGTGAAAATGACAATGACAGATGCTAGTCAGCACTAAGCCTGAGCTTGTAATTCTTCATCTAATGGCTACTTGGAACAGAACTTTAGATTAGACACATGCACAGGAAGGATACTAGTGGATGGAATATGCAATAAGAAAAGAAAAACTATTATTATCCTGCCATTTAATTCCTATTAATGAACATGAGGGCAACACAAAATGTGCTCATTTATTCCTCCCTAAATTACAGCACTCAATGATTATTACTGTCTTGATGCTTTTAGAAAATCCAATAGCTTTTAACAAAGTAATAAAGCAAACTACCTCAATGGTCATAAAATATCAAGCCAGCTATCATTATAAACAAAATTACGTAATTAAATTATAGAATGAATAGTACTGTGTTGATTGTATTGTATTAATTTCATAGGAGAGTCCAGACATCTCTGAACCTAGTAACATAAAACATAGAGAAATCTTTAAGAAATTTTGTTCAAAAATCAGACATTGTTCAAGTGCAATTTAAAAGAAGTTTAAATGTTTGTCAAGTTGTTTGCCTCCTATGAGACACAGGATTTAATTTGTAGTCTCAAACTACTTAATAACCAGAAGGGAGAACTACTAATGTTGTAGGAAAGTGATAAGGATCAGATGCCACTCAAAGCATCCTATCTGCTATATGCTCATAGGCTGTAAGTATAAAACTCATATGCATGCTGTTGAAGACAGAACTATGTGAGCAGGTAGAGTTTCTTAAAAAATGTGAAGGAAAATAAATTATGTCAAAAACATGTAATGTGAGCAGAAAGATAGTGTGAAATTCTTCAAGCTCTTTCTACAGTGAATTCACATACTGTTGAGCAGCTTTTGGACATAGATGGCAAATGCTACATTTCATCTTGTTCTTGAAAGAGATCCGGTTATATACACATGACCTCCAGAAGACATAGCTTAGTTCTGTTGTGCGAACAAGTCTTCTTTCAATTGCTTTACTCTAGAAATTAATTGCAGTGCTACCAACCAGCACATATGAACATAATTAGCATCTTTATTGTTCTAAGTAAATAAAAGAAAGGAAACAAAGAGCAAAGCATGTACTTTTTTTGTACAAATCACATGAATAAGAGTGCATGAAGGGTATCATTAGCCATATTCTTTTAAACCAAATGACTGAATACATAAAATCCAATATTTGATGAACATGCTCTGCTAAATCATTAGTTACAGTATCTCAGACAAGCAATTCTGATACCTATTCACTTCTTTCCCTCGAAACCTTAGATGCACAACTTTGCATTTTAATAAGCATGTTTGAAATTCAAATTTGTCTCCTTAGCTGTCTTTTTGAGAAGCAAAACAAGTTCTGCTCTGTGGGGTCTTTTAAACAACCTGGAAGGAGGGGAGGGTACAAAGATTCTTACCATTGGTATGAAATGTAGCATTTTGTTCATTTATCTGTGCTGTAAGTACTCAAAGTTGCACTCAAAACTTCTTTAGCAGATTACTTCAGTAAAATCTGTTGAATGGAACCATGACTTCCATGTATACTCGTTATCTTATTCTGCAAATTTGGCCATGTCATTCCCCACGTGGCAGTTTTATGCAAAAGGTGACAAATTGGAGAGTGGAATCATTTGGTGAGCTCTTATAAAAAATTCAAATTCAAAATTTATTCTCTTGCACATTTTCCTCATATTGTAACTTTTAAAGGTGTGCTATGAAAAAATCGTAGTTCAAGAGATACATAAAAGACTTTCAAGAGTCTGCTGAGCTTTTGTTGACCTGAAACTGGAAGCTCAAACTTAGTTATCCGATTTGAAATTTATCAGAAGTTACTATATATATAAAACATCTAAAGTCTTGCTCATTGTGAAAATGGCAGCTGTGTCAGTCTCATGATAATTTTATTATTTTTGTATTAAATAAGAACTGTACACTGATATAGTACCTTTGAATGTCATTGTTTCCAAACATATTGCAAGTATGTCAAGTTCACAGAATTCCTCTTGAATTAGTCAATTAATATTTACTTGAAACAGAGATGTGAGAATACAGTTGGTTAAAACCTGTAATAAAGCCTCAGCATCTACTTTCCTGCAAGTTCTGTTGCCTGAACCATACAAGGGCTTTCTTTCAGGTCACTGAACAAAAGATGTCTCTTAGTATCTGAGCAAGACTAGAGATTGCATTATCATAAAGACTACAGTGCCAGGAGTTTTGCAGTTTTAGATATATTTTTTACATCTTAAGGGCTAAAAGCAATTGAATTATGGTGTTACACTGTTGATATCTCTGTGATACAACAGGATGTTAATATCATTAATTCCAAAAGAACAGATTTATCAATCATTAAATCCATCTCATTCCACTGTCTTTTTTCAACTGGTTACTTTGCCCTAAAGATTTTCTGAAATGTTTCAAATTTGATAACTATACTTTCTTGATCATTAAAGAACTAGTCTAAGGTGGTTTTTTTCATTAGCTGCTTTACATTTTCCTAGCAATAATATTTTTAATACGCTATGTTCTTCATCTGTCCAACTACTTGCCTATTCCATTCCTTAGAGGATACTTGCATGGTGTATGTCATGTACTTGTAAGGGTTCTCTTCACTGAAGGGCTCAAAGAAATTAGATATATCTTGAAAATAAGTAAGTTTTCTGTTGTATAGATTTATGATTTAGTCCCTGTATATGTCCTCCAGAGCCATTTCAAGAAGGAAGACACCTGATTCTTCATTACATGAATGCAACAATATGGTTTGCAAAACAGTTTGTTCCAAAGGTTGGCAGAATTGCTGTTTGGTGTGCAAACATCATGGCTAAAAGACCATGACGAGGCCATGACAATGATAAGGCATTTCAACCATATGAGGATGAAAATTTATGGTAGTGCAGTGATCTGAAAGAGTCATTCGTTTATAGTTCTGAGTTGTTCAGTAAGTGCTAGTGAGATCTATTTTATTGTAGTTGCACTCCTGCTTGACCCTCCAGCACCAAGTATTTCTGCAGTGATGTTAGCTAAAAAAGCCATACTATAGATCTGCACTGCTTATAGCAGAGACCTCTAGCTACTGTGCCTTGTACGAAGAATAGAGAAGACATCTAAGCAAACCTTGTGCAAAGCACATCAGTAAAAGAAAGCTTCTCACTGGATTTCATCTCTGTTATTACTTTCAAGAAGTATTACTGCAAGTCTTATTGTGTAAACTCTGCTGCAGAAAATTACCCTTAGGTGGTTTTCTTTCTACATTTAAGGCTCGCAACTAATGACTGTTTGCAATGATATGCAGATTCCAATAGAAGTGAGATTTGAAATGAAGCTTCTGTTACCCTCCAACCATTTCACCTTCTCTCTCCTGCAAATCTAAAAGTGATTTGTTTTTGTTCCTCAGCCCTATAGCAGCAAGTCTGTTTCTGTTTAAATTTCTTTTCACACCAAACAGTCTCTTACTGTTTATGAATGTCCATTTAGATTATTTGATAAAGAATGAAAAGAAAGTATTAAATCAAAGGCAGTAAAGTCTACATGATCCTATTCACATAACAAATTCAGTATAATGACAGTGGAGCTAGATATACAATGATAAGACAAATACTAATCCACAGTTAGAACTCCAGGAAAGAAAATCTAGACTCAGTTGGATCTGATAACACTGTTGACAAGTAGTCTTGTAAGCAATACCCTGTGATACTTACACATACATTTCGTATTTCTTAGGTTTCTCAAGCTGCTGCTAGGG